ACCCCAGCTGTTTTTCCCCCCTAAAATGTGAGGATTTGATCAATTCCTGAACCTGGATGGCACCAACAGCAACAACTTCTGTCCCTTCAGGCCCTGCCAGGGGCTCTGAGCTCTCCCTGGAGCCTTCTCCTCTCCAGGGGAACATTCCCAGCTCTCCCTGGAGCTTTCTCCTCTCCAGGGAACATTCCCAGCTCTCTCTGGAGCCTTCTGCTCTCCAGGGGAACATTCCCAGCTCTCCCAGCCTTCCCTCATTTCTGTTCCATCCCTCAAACCACCTCTGTGGCCCTCTCTAAGTCCTGCAGTCAATTTTCCTTCAAAAGGAGCAAAGCCAACAGCAAAGCCCAACATCTCCTGGTTCAGACAACTCTCCCCAGAGGATTTGGAAGCTCAGCTGCCTCTGGAAATGAATCTGCAGCACCCTGAGAGCTCCCAGAGGCGCTTCTGCACTCCCTGCCTTCCAGAGAAGTCATCTGGACATAAATGGTGAGAGGAAAAAACCGATTTCATCTCAAGACAATGTTTGTCAGAGCAAAACAAAAATGCTGCAATAAAAGCTGGGCACCAGCTGATCCAATGAGATGCCACTGGATCAAGGAGAGAACATTTATTCTGTAAAGAACTCCCCAAATCCTGACTGAGAACATTTATTCTTAAAGAACTCCCCAAACCCTGACTGAGAACATTTATTCAGAGAATTCCCCAAATCCTGACTGAGAACATTTATTCTGTAAAGAACTCCAAAACCCTGGCTGAGAACATTTATTCTTTACAGAACTCCCCAAACCCTGGCTGAGAACATTTATTCTTAAAGAACTCCCCAAACCCTGACTGAGAACATTTATTCTTTAAAGAATTCCCCAAATCCTGGCTGAGAACATTTATTCTTTACAGAACTCCCCAATTCCTGACTGAGAACATTTATTCTTAAAGAACTCCCCAAATCCTGAGAACATTTATTCTTTACAGAACTCCCCAAACCCTGACTGAGAACATTTATTCTTAAAGAACTCCCCAAATCCTGACTGAGAACATTTATTCTTTAAGAACTCCCCAAATCCTGACTGAGAACATTTATTCAGAGAACTCCCCAAATCCTGACTGAGAACATTTAAAGAACTCCCCAAACCCTGACTGAGAACATTTATTCTTAAAGAACTCCCCAAACCCTGGCTGAGAACATTTATTCTTCAGAGAACTCCCCAAATCTTGACTGAGAACATTTATTCTTTCAAGAATTCCCCAAATCCTGACTGAGAACATTTATTCTTTAGAGAACTCCCCAAATCCTGACTGAGAACATTTATTCTTTAAAGAACTCCCCAAACCCTGGCTGAGAACATTTATTCTTCAGAGAACTCCCCAAATCTTGACTGAGAACATTTATTCTTAAAGAACTCCCCAAACCCTGACTGAGAACATTTATTCTTCACAGAACTCCCCAAACCCTGGCTAAGAACATTTATTCTTTAAAGAATTCCCCAAATCCTGAGAACATTTATTCTTAAACAACTCCCCAAACCCAGACTGAGAACATTTATTCTGTAAAGAACTCCCCAAATCCTGACTGAGAACATTTATTCTTTAAAGAATTCCCCAATTCCTGACTGAGAACATTTATTCTTTACAGAACTCCCCAAACCCTGAGAACATTTATTCTTTAAGAACTCCCCAAATCCTGGCTGAGAACATTTATTCTTCACAGAACTCCCCAAATCCTGAGAACATTTATTCTTTACAGAAATCCCCAAATCCTGAGAACATTTATTCTTAAAGAAATCCCCAATTCCTGACTGAGAACATTTATTCTTCACAGAACTCCCCAAACCCTGGCTGAGAACATTTATTCTTTAAAGAACTCCAAAACCCTGACTGAGAACATTTATTCTTTACAGAACTCCCCAAATCCTGACTGAGAACATTTATTCTTAAAGAACTCCCCAATTCCTGACTGAGAACATTTATTCTTTACAGAATTCCCCAAATCCTGACTGAGAACATTTTTTACCTATTTTATATATGAAACATCAGTGTGTGGAGTCATTAAAGAGAGATTAGAATTAGCAGAAAGAACTAATTTTTAGTGTCATTTACAAAGGTTTAGTCCAAGTTGTTCCAATGAAAAGAAATTAAACAAGGGTGGCATTTAANTTTCATGTGAATTGTTTTTACTTAATGGCCAATAGCAGCCAGCTGTGTTGGGACTCTGGAAGAGAGAGTCAGGAGTTTTCATTAGCATTCTTGTTGAGCCTTCTGGCTGTATCCTTTCTGTATTATTTAGTGTAATATACTATACTGTAATATACTATACTGTAATATACTATACTATAATATACTGTACTGTAATATACTATAATATACTATACTGTAATTACTGTAATATATTATACTGTAATACGCTGTAATATACTATACTATAATATGCTGTAATATACTATACTGTAATACACTGTAATATACTATACTGTAATACGCTGTAATATACTATACTGTAATATACTGTACTGTAATATACTAAACTATAATATACTATACTGTAATATACTAAACTATAATATACTATACTGTAATATGCTGTAATATACTGTACTATAATGTACTATAATATACTATACTGTAATATGCTGTAATATACTGTACTGTAATATACTAAACAATAATATACTATATTGTAATATACTGTAATATACTATAATGTACTATACTGTAATATGCTGTAATATACTATACTGTAATATACTGTAATATGCTGTACTGTAATATACTGTAATATATTATACTGTAATATGCTGTAATATACTATACTGTAATATACTGTACTGTAATATACTATACTGTAATATGCTGTAATATACCATACTATAATATACTGTAATATGCTGTAATATACTATACTATATTGTAATATACTATACTGTAATATACTATACTGTAATATACTATACTATACTGTAATATACTATACTATAATATACTGTAATATACTATATTATAATATACTATACTATACTGTAATATGCTGTAATATACTATACTATATTGTAATATACTATACTATAATATAATATCACATAATATAATAAATTAGCCTTCTAAGAACACAGAGTCAGATTCATCATTTCCTCCTTTGTCCCAGGGAGCTGCAAATTCAGCCCTGTGGGTTTGCAGCCTGCATTGCCCAAACCATCCCCAACAACATCAGCCATTGCAGAGCCCAGGCTGGTTCCTGGCCCCATTCCCACCTCCACGTCCTGCACGGTGCGTGGCTGGGCGATGCACAGCTTGTTCAGCAGCTGCAGGATCAGCTCCTCAATGTAGTACAGGGAATCCTCCTTGGCTGACAGGTTGGGGTGAACCTGCTGCTGCACCTGGCCAGAGCAATTCAGAGAATCAGTGTCACCATCACAGTGGCTGAAAAATCCTCTTTGCACAGGGTTCTTCTCCTGGGAAACTGAGAAGCCTCAGAGAAAAAGGAAAACAATAATTATCTGATTTGCTTCTCCTGTGTTTTGCTGCTTTGCAATGTGGTTTGGGCATTGCTTACCCACAGGTGATTGTTTCATTGGTTTCAGGTGAATTGTTTTAACTTAATGACCAATCACAGCCAGGCTGTGTTGGGGGCTCTGGAAGGAGTCAGGAGCTTTCATGATCATTTTTTGTAGCCTTCTGTCTGTATTCTTTCTCTATTCTTTAATATAGTCTTAGTAGAATGTAATAATAATATAGAATGTAATAATAATACAGAATGTAATAATAATATAGAATGTAATAACATTAAATATAGTAAATTAAATATATGTTTAAATTAAATATATTAAATTATACATATATTAAATATTAAATATAATGTAATAATGATAAATAGAATGTAACAATAATATAACAAGAATAGAATATAATAGAATAGAATGTAATATAATATAGTAATATAGTACCCATATATCATATAGCATATCACATATCATATAGCATATCTCATATCATATTATTTATCATATCATAATAAATTAGCCTTCTAAGAACATGGAGTCAGATTCATCATTTCCTCCTTCGTCCTGGAACCCAGCAAATATCACAAATTAGATTTTTTTCATGGAAAGCTGGGCCTAAAAATGAATCCCAGCAAAAGCAGGATAGCTCTGGATTGCAGTGCTGCAAATTCACACATTTTTCATGTTTCTCACACGTTTTCCTCTGGAGTTAGGGTGGTAATTGCTATTGCTGCCAAGCTGGCAGCTCTGTGGAATCCCAGACTCCGTGTTTGCCATGAGGGAGGGAGGAGTGCCAAGGCAAGGCAATTCCTGCCAGCACTGGAGCGAAACCTTCCCTGTGGGCACCTGGGAGTTACTCAGGGCCTGGGTGAGTCATTGCTCTGACGTTACCAACCCTGAACATGTGATGGATAAATGAGTGCTGGAGTCACTGCCTGCAGCCGCTCACCCTGCCTGGGGCACTGAGCAGGGAGCAGCCCACACCCACCAGGGAAGGGCAAGGAAAAGCTGCTGCCCTCCTCTCTGCTTTTATCTCACCTCATGGGATTAATCCCAGCTTTGGTTCCCCAGGCTAAACTAGACCAGAACACCCAAACCAGGCAAAACCTCAGCATGTGCCCATAGAGGAAGGGCCACAATGAACTCGTCCTGGCTCAGCAGGGCTCTTGTGCTACTAAAAATCCCCCCCAGACAAACCATCCCACCTTAAAAAGCAAAATGAAGCACTCAGGGCTTGGTCTCCATGCTCAGTTTTCCCTGGCAGCCTCTGAGTCAGCAAAGTGCTCACCAGATCTCAAACTATAGCCAAAAGATTTGTGAGGAAGACAATCCAGGGAAATCCCCTTCTCTCCCCACACAAATCCCATGTAAATCACCTCCAGAAACTCACTCACACTGGTATTCACAGGACAAGTGGGGTGGCAAGACACAAACATCTCTGGGCTGAATTCTGTTGTTTGAAATAAAGGCACAGCCCCTTCCAGAGCCCAGGGAGCAGCTCCCAAAAACAGGGGGGCTCTGAGGGCTTCCTCCAAATCAAGGAGAATCCCAGGATGGTCTGGGTTTGAAAGGACCTTCAGGATCATCCTGTGCCACCCCTGCCATGGCAGGGACACCTCCCACTGTCCCAGGGTGCCCCAATGTCCAGCCTGGCCTGGGCACTGCCAGGGATCAGGGACAGCCACAACTGCTCTGGCAATTCTATTCCAGAGCTCCCCAGCCAAGAATTCCCAATTCCCCATCTAACCCTGCCCTCTGTGAGCTTGGATCCAGCTGCCCAGTCTTGTTATAAAGTTATTTTATACCCCTTAAACCTAATTTTGCCTTCTGTGCCTCAAACACGAATCTCTTCTTTACACAACTGATTCCCAGCTGCCACAAGATCCTGAAATAAAGCAAAAACCCTCAAGAAAACCAAACCCACTCCTTGAAAGCTCCTCCTTAAGACAGCAGGTTTCCAACAACAGCCAGGGCATTTTGTGCTCTTCCTGAACGTGAGAGTTTCATTCCCACAACAATGGCAGAGCAGGAAGCGCTGGCTGTGTCCCAGAGCAGCGCTGCAGCAGGAGCAGGCCCAGGGAATTCTGTCCCACAGCGAGCCCTCAGCGGTGCTGCACAGAACCGACACCAACAGCAGCAGCAGAGGAGGAGGATCGGGAGAAGATGGGAGCTCCCATTCCCTGACCAGAGCTCTTCCCCTCCCTGCAGTCGCTCATTTCAGACTTGGCTGCACAGAAATGGTTTGATTTGCACCTGACTGCAGTTCCCAGTGTGACCAGCTCACGGCACAAACGTTCACCGACAGCGCATCCCCTGAACTGAGAACATTTATTCTGTAAAGAACTCCCCAAATCCTGAGAACATTTATTCTTAAAGAACTCCCCAAACCCTGACTGAGAACATTTATTCTTAAAGAACTCCCCAAACCCTGACTGAGAACATTTATTCTTCAGAGAACTCCCCAAACCCTGACTGAGAACATTTATTTTTCACAGAACTCCCCAAATCCTGACTGAGAACATTTATTCTTTAAAGAATTCCCCAAATCCTGAGAATATTTATTCTTTAAAGAACTCCCCAAACCCTGACTGAGAACATTTATTCTTCACAGAACTCCCCAATTCCTGACTGAGAACATTTATTCTTCAGAGAACTCCCCAAATCTTGACTGAGAACATTTATTCTTTAAAGAATTCCCCAAACCCTGACTGAGAACATTTTTTACCTATTTTATATATGAAACATCAGTGTGTGGAGTCATTAAAGAGAGATTAGAATTAGCAGAAAGAACTAATTTTTAGTGTCATTTACAAAGGTTTAGTCCAAGTTGTTCCAATGAAAAGAAATTAAACAAGGGTGGCATTTAAACTTGGCCTTAAGGCCTTTCTGAGGGACATAATTTTATTTTACATTGAAATTCCTAAACTGCTCCTTCTCTTGCTCCTCAGCTTTTCCCCATTCTCCCACCCTTGATGAAAATCCTCAAAAGCTTCTCCTCAAAATTTTCAGGATTTTCAGGATTTTCTCCTCAAAATTTTAAGCATTTTCATTTGATGAAAATCCTCAAAAGCTTCTCCTCAAAATTCCTTCTCAGTGAGATGTTATTAATCCTCAGAGCAAAGAGTCTGCTCAGAAAGGATGAGGACAAAACTTTTCATGGAGATAAATGGTATTAAAATTAGAAACAACCTGATCTTATTTAATTTTTTAACCAATATAATGGGTTAATTTTGAATTCAGGATTTGAATTCACAGGAATTCTGGATCTCAGACTTCAGGAAATGCAGAAGTTCAAAGTAGAAAAGAAATTATCAAAGGGTTTCATTTGAAATGATAAAAAACTGAGGGAAAAAGTAGAGAAAAATAGAGATCTGCAAGAAGTTCTTTTTAGCCTTTTCTGAGACAAACCAACAGCTTGGCTACAACACCTAAATATATTTTTACTTAATAGATTATTTTGGTAGTGAAAGCACATCCAGAAAGCTCCAGCTGTTCCACAGACAGCACTTGAGCAAAACAAGAGATTTTTCATTTAAAAACCCCCAAGAACAGAAAATTCCCAAATCCGTGATGTGCACATTGAGTCTGCAGCAGCACAGTCCACCACAAAAACACGGATTCATCTTCCTGAAATATTTGCTAAAAATATCCCAGTTTTCTACTCATATTCAAAACTACATTTTCAGAAAATGGAATTCCAGAGTTACCTGAGATTTCAGAACAGGAAGTTTCTAATTTAAATTGATTTTTTTGATTTAATTTTTTTTTTAATCAGTGTTTTAATTCCTTCTTATCTTTTGTCTCCTAAAGATAACCCTGACCACAAGAAACACAAAACATCTGCTCCAAAGACATTTTTAACCCCTCATCTGGATGATGCTCCAGAGGAAGAAGGGAACCAAATGGAGCAACTTAAAGATTCCATTGTTCATTGAAAGGGGACAGCACTGATATTCCCAATTTTCAAGCATTATTCTTTAGAAAAAGCCACAAAGATTTAAACGCTTGAAGAGAAATCCCCAATAAAAATGCACTGTCAACTTTTTAAAAATAAAAACACTGATTTCTTATTTTATTTCCAGCACAGCAATTTCTGGCTGGCCTGTTTTCTTAAATCAGACTAAAACATGCTGAGAGAGGAACAGCATGAAGCAGTTCCTTAAGTAAAAGAGAATTTTTATCTACATACAGCATTTGGCTTTTTTACTGAAGCACGGTTAGCAAAATAAAATTATCCCTCAACTGACTGTACAGGGGTATTAAAAATTATCTTACTCCACCACTTTGGTGGAAATGTGATTTTTCTTTTTTTTCCATCTTTAGCTATTTAAATAATCTCCTACAGAATATTCTAGTTGAGGGGAGGGTGAATTAAAGCAGGAATGATGGGTGGTACAGACAGGATCTGACTCTGAAACAGCATCAAAGGCTGTCCTGAAATCTCCTGGGAAAGCTGCTTGGTGCCTACAGAAAAAAAACACATTTAAAATTACACAAATACACAAAAATTCTTCTTTAATTAATTATTGTTTTCNCCATCAAATAATTCCTACAGAACTGGGATCACAGGATCAACCTGCAAATAATTCCCACAGGACTGGAATCCCATGAAATAATTCCCACAGGACAGGGATCCCAGTATCAACATGAAAAATAATTAATACAGGACTGGAATCCCAGTATCAACCTGCAAAATAACTCACACAGGACTGGAATCCCATGAAATAATTCCTACAGAACTGGGATCACAGGATCAACCTGCAAAATAGCTCACACAGGACTGGGATCCCAGTCAATAATTCATACAGAACTGGGATTCCATTCAATAATTCCCACAGGACTGGGATCCCCGTATCACTCTGCAAAATAATTAATACAGGACTGAAATCCCATTATTAACCTGTGAAATAACTCACACAGGCTTCAAATCCCATTCACTAATTCCCACAGGAATGAAATCCCAGTC